AAGAGAAAAAGGAGAGATCACCCTCAACACTTCTTTGGTGCTCTTCATTCTTCAGAAATTTAACTCCTTTCAGTTCAGAAAATTTTACTTAGTACAAACTAGCATGGTCTCTTAAGAATTTCCTTCATACTATGGTAGAGAGTGAAATATTAGAAGACATAAAAGCAGTGAAAGTACTTAACAAGAATAAGACAGTGTGGAATTGGGGGGGGGTGAAGAGAAGAGGATAGAGAAAGATAGCAAGGGAACAAATAGAGAGGCAGGACGTTAGTGGGAAACAGATATGGTTTATTACCTGTTGATGATGACATGTATAGTATTCTCAACTGGATGGATCTGAGAAGTATTTCATGATGGGTATAGTCTTTTTACAAGCAAAATGAGAAATAGTGATTGACTGTTTAAAAAATAATTGGAATAATAATAATGATGGGAAAAACAATGAAAAGATATTGAATGATAAAGTGGAGAGAATAATGTCTCTGTATTGACTGACATGCATGGCATTCCCTTTTGAAAAAGCAATGTAATACACTGTAAAGTTATATGCAATTCAATGTACTATAAATAAGATTATGAGGATAATAAAAAATTAAGAAAATAAAAAAAGTTCCTGTGCAAACTAAAAAAAAAAAGAAGAAGAATTTCCTTTATATCAGTTGTACATATTATTTTGCACTTAAAATGATGTTGTGTATTGATGGGACCAAAAAAGGCTGTTTATAAATGAAAAACTTTTCTGTTCTAATTATATGTCAATTATTTACATGTACTTTTATTAATATATTTAAAACCCCACATTTTGTTTATTCACTTTTCCAGTGATAGAAACCTCCTACCCCTTGCCCACAAATATTATTACATAATGTGAGATACACACAAAACACAATACACATAAATAGTACACATTCAAGGATTCCATTGCTCTTTTTTTTTTTTTTTTTTTTAAAGGGAGATTTTTGCTATAGGACACATGTGGTCGTCAGAGAGACGGAAAGTGAGAAATCACCCCTGGGGCAGATGCCATTCCACAATCTCTTCTCCTTCATTCTCCTCTCAAGATTTTGGACATGCACACACATGCAGCTAGTGTATTTTAAGCCACTAGGTCCAGGACTCAAACCACAGTTGAGACTGTGTGGGAGTCAGCACTGTAACCATTACACCATCTGCTGGTTCCCCCATTGCTCTTTTTATTCCTTTCCCTGACTAATACTTGTATCAAAGTGAGCCCCTCTTTCTCAACACAAATTTATAAGCCTATTATTTAATTCTTTCTAACTGTTGACATCTGGTACATAACTTCAGATGTTTTGGTATCTTTGATGAATATGTCTTTTTTTCTGTTTACCCTGTGAGATGACTTTAAGCCAAGTATCTTTTCATTATTATCTGTTAAAATAGGTAAGTTTAACTCTATACTTCTAGGATTTTTACTCAAGTCCCTACTTTGGATTCCTCAAAGGTTCTTCGATTCTATGCAATCTGGGATGATACAGACAGTATGTTTGGTGAATGTCGAACCTACATTATCCATTACTATCTTATGGATGATACAGTGGAAATTCGAGAGGTCCATGAACGGAATGATGGACGAGATCCCTTCCCACTCCTGATGAACCGGCAGCGCATGCCCAAGGTTTTGGTGGAGAATGCAAGTATGTTTGATTTAGTTTATCCTCTGTTACTTGGAACTTTTTCTGGGAGGTAGGGGTCTCAAAGGAGTTACTTTATCTGTATGATTATTCCTTCGCACATGAGAGACTTTAGATATGTTGTCCTAGGTGTTCAGAAAATGACTTTCCCACAATTTCCTTCCTTTACTTGCCCCTTGTTTCAGGCGTGCCTCTGAGGCAGTCTAGTACAGATAACCGATGCCCAGCTTAAGGAAGCAACCCCAAAACAGCAGTGGGAGCTTCATTTAAAGTATGTTAGACCAAGGTTTCTGAACTAAACCAATTTAATATTAGATTTTTAATGCATTTTTTAAAAAATGGGCTTGTTTTCATTCAAGGGTACAACTTAGTATTTCCTTTTACACTCTTCCTGACTTTGCTTCTTGCCTCAACTACTTCATAAACAGCAAGTTTCTACATGGTTCAACTCGAGATTGGAAAAGGGATATCTGTGACTTATAGAGGTAGAGCCCTATCGTGTCAACCTTGGTTTGTTATTTGCTGGTTTTAAATATTGGGTTGTCAGAAAAGTCATGAAGCATAGAAAAATGTTGGAGAGTGAGAATGCAATAAAATGGCAGCAGGTACCTGCTGTTCACTGTTTTTTGGGGGGGATAAGTAGACCTGCTTTGGTTACTGACTTAGTAATTAAATAATTTTCTCTTACAAAAATGTCATCTTGGTCACACATAATGACGTTTCTCATGTTTGGGTGCCTGACAGAATTCTGTGAACACTTAATTGACTTTTTAAATTTTCTTTTTACTATTTTTGGGAACTAGAAGGTAGTAAATTCTACGTATTGAGCAAGAATCTTGTCTAGATTAGAAGTTATAAACAATTGACAGTCTGAAGGCTAAATTCAACTTACCCACATGTATTGCTTGGCTTAAACAGTGTTTTGTTTTAAAATGCAGTGTTATTTGTGGGCAAAGAGTTTCCATCACTGGGAAAGTGGATAAACAAAATGTGGTAAAAGTACTTCTTGATTAATATGAAATAGTTAGAAGCAATAAACAAGGTACACACAGAAAGCAGATGGATGGAAAAGCAAATACATAGTGCTATGCGGAACAACAAGAAGTGAAGTGAGATATATAATGCAATAACATTTCCGTAATGTGATATGTGACATATCCATAAAACCTAGTATACACAGCACAAGTTCAGTCAAGAAGCTGCACATTATCATGGTTGCATGTGAGGGAGAGAGGGAATGACAAGAAAAAGGAATAAAAAGGAGGAAAAGTTGTCATTTTTAAAATTAGAAAAGATTACACTAAATCTCTCTCTCTCTCTTTTTTCACAAAACAAGAATAACCGTTAACACAGTTTGCATTTTTAAATAGCAACAACTGTATCTGTGCCCTAGTTCACCATGATTCAGCCACTGCCTATGGTACATACTCTTTTTAAACATTTTTAAAATAATTATTTAATTTTATTTATTATTATTAAATTTGCTCTAGGGCACATGGGCTCACACCAGACACACACACACACACACACACACACACATAAAGAGAGAGAGAAAGTGAGAAAGCAAGCCACCAGGTCAGGAACTCAAACCACAGTTGGTCATGTGGGAGTCCAGTGCCTTAACCACCAGGTTACCTGCTGGCCTGGGTACATGTTAAACTGGCCCCTTGCAATAGAACCCTCTTAGAAGAGTTCAATGACACTGGCACAAATATACTAATTTTGGCCTTCCAGACCAATTAAATAAGCCTGGAATTCCTGTCATCTAGAATTAACATTAGATTTACAGGAGATTGACAAAAATGGGAATATTTTGGGGTTTGTGCCATAATCCCAAAAAGGACAATCCCAAATTCCACAGTCCCAAATGTTGGAACCCCTAAAGTCTAAAATCCTAAACTCTAAAATTCCAAAAATCATAATCCCAAAAATATAATGTTGGAAAAAATCATTTAAATAAATCTCTTTTTAAAAAATTTTATTTACATTTAATCACATCTTTACAGTATACATTTCTTTTTCTAACACAAATACCATACATGTCAGTCAAGACAAAGATATTACTATATACAGTATCATCATCATAGCATCTCACGTTTTGTCAATTAAACATACATTTGACAGTTTTTCCTTCCCCTTTCTCCTCCCTCCCTTCCATACTAAACTTTTTTTTTTTTTCACATTTTATTGATTCACAAAAGATCTTAAACTGAAAGTATGGACAAAGCTAGGATCTAGTGACAAATGCTCTGTAATTTTCTTCTGAAACATTTTTCCCCCTCTCTTCATTCTCCTTTACTAAAGAGAGGTATAAACTAACTTATTTGCAAAAAATAATTAGATTAATCCCAGTTTGGTCTGTTATTTGCACAAAGCCCCAGAAGAATTCAATTTCTGATGCAAGGCAACAGATACTATTTTATTATTGAACTTATGCAAGTAACCATTCTGCCACAAAATAAGAAGGCTTACATATATTTTCCAATTGCAAAGGGGTCAGGAAGGGAGAAAAGTTTATGTTTCAATTTAAAAAATTCTTTTAAAATAAATAGCTGAACCTATCAACAACTCAAAAGAAAACAAAAATTATTAAATCTTGAAGACAACGCATAGAAGAAAATCAGTAATGTTTTAAAAAAAAAGTCATAGAATTGTATTTCACCAGTTCAGTCTCATGTAATCTCTCTTTTGTTGAATTTGCAGTGTTACTGTGGTCTGACCTTTCCATTAACATTCAACATTATTATTGATATTTCAGAACTTGTTTCTACCATTAAGTTGGCCCTTTTCTTGGTCATTTCTTGTTCTCTTATTTGTCTATCTTGTCTTCAGTTTTCCTGGTATTTTAATACTCCCTTCAGAACTTCTCGAAAAGCTGGTCTGGTGTTGGTAAATTCTTTCAGGTTTTATTTATCTGAGAATGTTTGTATCTTTTCTTCCCATATGAAGGCTAATCTTACTAGGTATAGTATTTTTGGTTGAAATTGTTTTTCACTTAACACTTTGAATATATTTTCCCATTCTTTCCTTGGTTGCATTGTTTCTGACAAGAGGTCCAATACTAGCCTGATGGGATATCTTTTGAAAGTAACTTGATGTTTTTTTTTTTCTCTTGCCAAGTTTAGTATCTTGTCTCTGTCTGTGGTTTTGGTCCGTCTGGCTATGATGTGCCTTGGAGAAGATCTTCTTGGATTGATTTTATGTAGGGTCTTTTGTATTTCTTGGGTCTAGATATTTGAATGCCTCTCTAGGTTTGAAAAGTTTTCTTTTAGGATTTCATGGAATAGATTATCAATGCCCTGTTTAGTTTCTTCACCTTCTGGGATATTGATTATCTAGATGTTTGGGCATCTAATATTACTAGTATTGAGCGTCTAGTATTACTGGTATATTATTCTCATTTTTGAGGGATTATTTTTCTTAGTCTTTTTGGTGAATTTTTCTAGGTCAGAGGCTCTGTCTTCTTTGTCTGAGATTCGATCCTCTGCATGATGTAATCTGCTTTTAATACTTTCAAGGGAGGATTTGATTTCCTGTATTATAGCTTTCATCTCTAACATTCCTGTTTGATTCTATTTTATGGTGTGTATTTCCTCTTTCAAATCATGGAAGAACTTCCTCACCTCCTGGAACTTGTCTCTTTTCTCCTGCATTTTCTGGAGTTTGTTGTCTCTCTTCTCTTGCATCTCTGCTAGCTTTGTCACTGCGCATATCCTAAATTCTTTATCTGACATTTCCATGAATTCTATTGTACTGTCTATGGATGATGAAGGGCTGTTCTTTCCCCTTTGGGGAGAGATATTTTTTTGATTTCCCATATTTCTTGTGCCTTTGTGGTAGTTTATAGTCATCTGATGGATTATACATTACTTCCTACCTTCTTGAAGTTAATTCTGAGTGTTAGAACTGTGCAGAAGGAGATGACCTGGCTTTTTGCTGAGTGTTGGGCCGGAAGGAGAGGTTTAGGGCAGAGACTTCTCAGTTAAAGGAGCAGAGCTAGGCCCATCTCAGATGCACATGGATTCTGGCTTTTCACTGGGTATTGGGAAAGAAGGCTTTTTTTTTTTTGTTAGAGATATTTTTGCTATAAGGGTGCGTTTGCCTGCTGGAGAGACAGAGAGAGTCAGAAAGTGTGAAATCATCCCCTGGGGGGATGGCCACACAGCAATCCCTTCTCTTCCATTCTTGTCTCGGGATTTTGGGCACACATGCACATGTGCCTGGCATGAATCCCAAGCCACTGTGGACTTGAACCACAGTTGACTCTGTGGGAATCCAGTAACACAACCATTATGCCATCTGCTGGTCCCTTAAATAAATCTTAAAGACATTAATTTACATTTTTAAAAGAGGATTTATTTGAAAAACACATAAAAATATGACATAACACCTTGTAGGCCACTTTACACAATAAAATAGGCAGTAATATATATTTTTGCAAACATAAACACTCAGGTATACAATTGACAGTTGCAGAGGTATAAGAGTCATGAGCAGATGAACTGTATTCATAAGAAAATAGGTCAAAAGCACTGTGGTTGGTAATTGTGTGCATCCAGTTTTTCTTTCACTTTGCTGTTTTTATTTATTTATTTATTTGTTTATTTGGCTATAGAACACATGCACTTGCCAGGGAGAATCAGAGTGAGAGAGAGAGAGAGTGAGAGTGAGAAAGTATTCCCACCCCTGCCCTCACCTCCTCCCCACACCCCACAAAAGGTTGACCATGCTACAATCACTTTTCTTCCATTCTCTTGTTTAGATTTTGGGCATGCACACCTGTCTTGTTTTTAAAACCAACAGGTCTGGGACTTGCATCATGCAGTTGATCAAGTGAGGTCCAGCATCCTTAACCTCCAAACCCCAGTTATCCTATATTGTTATTTTTATCCTTCCCCCCCAAATATTTCTGATCTGCAGAACCCATGGACATGAAGGAATAACTGTATCTGCATCCAATACCTGAATAACTCCCATTCTTTTCAAGCACAAAACATTTATAAAAATTGATTTTTTTTTTTAAATTTTGGAGATTTTTCGCTAGAGGGTTCCTGTGCATGCCAGAGAGACAGAGATAGACAGAGAGGTAGAAAGATTCTGCCCCAGGGGGGATAGTCTTAACAAATTTTAAAAACTAGATATTATATACCATATTTTCTGATTTTAACAAAATTAAGATTGAGATCAATTTGGAAATGCAAAGAAATTTCATATATTTGAAAACTGAAAAACACATTTCTAAATAACACATGGGTTAAAAAAAAAAGAATAGATATAGATATACCAGAAAATACTTGAACTGAATGTTAGCAGGAACTCAAAACTTTGGTATATCTAAAGTGATAGAGGAAAATTTATAGCCGTAAGTGTTCATTTTAAGAAAAGAAATATTAAAATAAATAAGTTATGTATTCTTTTTAAAAAGCTAGAAAAGTGGGCAAGCAGGTAGAATGGTGGTTAAGGCACTGGGTTCCCGAATGGCTGACCCCAAATTGAATCCTGGACCTGGTGGACAGAAAATCATACCAGGCACATGTGCGTGTGTGCCAGAAATCCCAGAAGGAGAATGGAGGAGAAGAGGTTGCGGTGTGGCCCTCCCTGATGCACTCCCCCAAGAGGGGGGTGATTTCTTACTTTATTTTCTTTCTCACTAGTGAGCATGCATGCCCTATGGCAAAACTCTTTTAAAAAAAATAAATAAAAGCTAGAAAAGTAATAACAGTGTTTGTCTAAAAATTTTAAAAAAGGAAATAATAATAAAATCAGTACTTGAATGATGAAATTGAAAACAAGGGTAACAAATGTGTCAAGCCAAAAGTTGTTTCTATGAATGGACTCATAAAATGACAAACTATCATGACTTATCAAGGGTAAAAATGGCACATATATACAATATTAAAAATGAACAAGAGACATAGTTAAAAATGCAGTGCAGACCAGCTTTGTGGCCTGGTAGTTAAGGCAGCCAGATCCTACATAGCCAACCACACAGTTTGAATAATGAACTTGGTGGCTTGAAAAACATATTGGGCTTGTGTGTATATGTGTGTTGCCCAAAATTCTGAAAAGAGAGTGAGGTGGAGGAGAAGGGATTGTAGGCGTGGCCATTCTCTTCCGGTGGGGCGGGAGTGTGCTTTCTTCTCTCCCTCTCTGTTTCTAGTGAGTACACACCTACTATAGCACACACACACACACACACATACACACAAGCAATGGATTAAATGAGCAAATTCTTAGAAAAATATAACTTCTTCAAGAAAAAATGGAAAACCAAATGTTTTTAACCATTAAAGAAATAGATATGGTAGGAAAATTTCCCACAAAGGAAACGCCAGGTCCAGATAATTTTGCAGAATACTTTTGTCAAATATTGAAAGAACAGATTATTCCAAGCTTAACACAAATTTTCAAAGAAAAGAACTCTTTAATTCATTCAGTTACAAAGGCTGATTAAACCAAAGACACAATGTGAAAGAAAACTAGTCAGTCTTACTCATGAACATATATGCTAAACCCCTAACAAAATATCAGTAAACTAAATCTACTTATAGATTAAAAAAGTTATTTGATGAACAAATGAAAAGGCAAATAGCTGAGTAGCATATATCCATACCTAATCTTCTGGAACACTGTACACGAGGAAAACTCATGCCATAGTCTATGTCCTCCATTGCTTAGCATCACTTCTGGGGCAGTGCAAAAGGATCTTTTAAGACTAGGCACTGAGTATTGGGTGGAGGATCCCTTAGGCTGTAGAACTCTCAAGATACATGACTGGGTAAATACATGATCAAAGACCGAGGTTCAAGTCTTTTTGTGTGATATAGCAGAAACATAGTCTCTTTCCAGTTTTTCCATTGTAGCAAGTAAAAGAAAAATAAATGTCAGCCTCCTCATGCCCTGTGTAATCAGGATTCTGTGTTCAAGTTTTGTGGTTGCAGCTGTAAGACATGACACTCTAATGGAGTTGACTGACTTATGATTTCCATGGATGCTGTGCTGCAGGGAATGTCTTAACTAGTTAATCCAGGGGCTGGCAAGTGGCGTGGTGGTTAAGGGCGCTGGACTCCCACATGGCTGACCACAGTTCGAGTCCTGGACTTGGCTTGCTTTCTCACTTTCTCCCTCTCTGTCCCTCTCTGGTCAAATTTAAATAAATAAATAAATACAGGACCAGCAGTTAGCGTAATGGCTATGTCGCTGGACTCCCATGTAGTCGACCGCGGTTCAAGTCCCGGACCCAGTGGCTTAAACTCATGCCGGGTGCGTGTGCATGCGTGCCCAAGATCCCGAGAGGAGAATGGAGGAGAAGGGATTGCGGCGTGGCCATCCCCTCTGGGGAGTGATTTCTCGCTTTCTATCTCTCTGTCTCTCTCTGTCTGTCTGGCGAGCCCATGCACCCTATAGCAAAAACCTCTCAATAAATAAATAAATAAATAAAGTCAAATAAAGTAATTCTTAAAAAAAAAAGTTAATCCTTAGCTCTCATAAAACAGTCTGACAAAATTGTATCTGTCACAAAAAATGTGGGATTGATTCTATATTTGAAATCTACTGATTCCCATGTGAATGGATTACTATAAATACCTCATTGAGTGTCCCTGCCTCCTGCTCCTAGAAATAGGTCACACTGTTCTAATAGCAGTGATTATGATGAAAATGAAACTATTATTTGTGTAATTGCTTAGTATCTGTCTCCCCAAACAGAATAGTTTCTCCATAAAATAAGGAGTCGTCTCTATATTAATTGTTATAAATCTGGTATTTACAGTGTTCCTAGTACATGACATAGACGGTCACTAAGGATTTCTTGGATGAAATGTATAAATAGGATGGAAGTTAAACTAAATGACTCAGACCTAAGGCTTTATTCTTACAGAAAAGCATTTGTTTATTCATTCTGTAAAGATATCATCTAAGTATTAATTTTGTTAAGGTTAGAGATGTATAGCGATAGTTCAAGCTCAATATGGGAAATAGACGTTACAAAAACCATCTGGATTATAATTTATGTGTCCTGTCAACAGATGGAAATACACATTCTTATATCATGGTGGGAATGTAGGGGAGTCCCTGACCCTTGACCAGAGCAAAAATCTACACTCCCTCCAGTTCTCAGGAAT